GATCTAATTAATAAGTGTGTGCAAGAAGAAGGGAGACTACGTCAGGAATTAAAGGGGAGAGTGTCATGCTTGCAATAGCAAAGCATAAAGAGAGATCTGGCAAGCGCCACACTACAGCTAAAGGGAAGGCAAAATTATCACCTCAGACTGACATTAAGAAAGCGCAGAAATGCTTCTTCTGTAAGAAGAAGGGGCATATGAAGAAGGACTGTGCAAAGTTTAAAAAGTGGATGTCTGAAAAAGGTATGATCTCTTCCTTTTTGTCTTTTGAATCCAATATGTCAGACGTTAATGCTAACACTTGGTGGATTGATTTTGGTTCAACAATCCACATTGCAAATTCTTTACAGGATATGCAAAATCTGAGACAACCGATGTCAAATGAGCGAAACATCTTCTCCGGAAATAAGATGGGCTCGCCGGTTGAAGCTGTAGGGACTTGCAGGCTGGTTTTAGACAGTGGTTTGTTTTTGAATTTAGAGAGGACATTTTATGTACCAACTTTTTCACGAAATTTGGTTTCCATTTCAAGACTTGTACCGTTGGGATTCAGTTTTAATTTTTCAGACAAGTACTTTAAATTATTTAATAATTCTACTTGTATTGGAAATGGTACACTGTCTAATGGTCTTTATTGTCTTCACTTACAAAACGATGCAAGTTATGATTCCTTACATGTTCAAACTGGCACCAAACGGTGTAGTGTTAACGATAAATCTTCAATGTTGTGGCATCGGAGATTGGGAGACATCTCCCTTGATCGCATTAAAAGGTTGCTAAAGGATGGAGTACTTTCTACTCTAGACTATACTGACTTTGAGACTTGTATAGACTGCATTAAAGGCAAGCATACTAACAAGTCGAAGTAAGGTGCCAATAGAAGTTCAACATTGTTAGAGATAATTCATACTGACATATGCTGTCCAGATATGGATATGCAGGGTCAGAAATATTTCATTACCTTTATAGATGACTTCTCTAGATTTACCTATGTGTATTTACTTCATCATAAGTATGAAGCATTGGATGCCTTTAAAACCTTTAAGGCTGAAGTTGAAAACCAATGCAAGAAGAAAATACAAATAGTTAGGTCAGACAGAGGTGGTGAATATTATGGTAGATACACAGAAAATGGACAAGCTTTGGGTCCGTTTGCTAATTTCCTTCAAGAGCATGGATTGTTGCCCAATACACCTAGCCGGGTTCCCCGGATCAAAATGGGTTGCTGAACGAAGGAATCGGACTCTTTTGGACATGGTGCGGAGTATGTTGAGCAACTCCACACTTCCAAAATCATTGTGGGCCGATGCTCTCAAGACGGTAACGTATATATTAAACCGGGTTCCGACCAAGGCTGTCCCAAGACACCTTTTGAGCTTTTCAAAGGTTGGAAACCGAGTTTGCATCATATGCGTGTTTGGGGTTGTCCGTCTGAGGTGAGGATTTATAACCACATGAAATGAAACTTGACCCGAGGACTATAAGTGCTTTCTTTATTGGGTATGCACAGTCTTCGAAGGGTTTATAGGTTTTATTGTCCAAAACATACGACTAGGATAGTGGAATCAAGAAATGCTAAGTTTCTTGAAGATGACTTGATCAGTTGGAGAGATCGATTTAAGGACTTAGTTCCTTTATTTGATCATGTTGACTCTTGCCCTTCAACGTCATCTAACGGAGTTGTACTTATACGCAATGCGTCTTCAGTCCGACTGCGGTTGTGCAACCCATTGTTGAGATTCCACAAGCTGTTGAAACTCAACCATTGGAAGAACAAAGTTCAGGACTTACAAGCAACCTCCTGAGCTAGACTTTGAGCCAATGGTTGAACCAATTCAGGATTTTCAGCAAGATCCTGAACCCGCACAGATCAAAATTGAACCAATTCAAGAACTACATCCAGTTCCTGAAGAGGAAGTTGCGCCACAACCTTCACAAGGTACTGGGTGTTTCAACGTTAAGACGGTCTACTCGGGTAAGGCGTTCAGCAGTTCCTAGCTATTATGTATCGTATCTACAAGAATCTGACATTGGACCTAAAAATGATCCCATAACGTTTTCACAAGCTACGATTGTGCACAGTCCGATTTGTGGTTAGAAGCATGAAAGATGAAATGAATTCCATGAAGAGTAATGGGAGTTTGGAACCTTGTTGAGTTACCTAATGGGGCCAAGCCGATTGGCTATAAATGGGTATTTAAAACCAAAAGAGACTCATTAGGTAACATTGAGAGGTACAAGGCCAGACTCATTGCTAAAGGATTTACTCAAAAAGAATGAATTGATTACAAGGAGACCTTTTCTCTGTATCAAAGAAAGATTCCCTTCGAATCATTCTGGCTTTAGTTGCACACTTTAATCTTTAGTTGCAACAAATGGATGTGAAAACTGCGTTTCTGATGCGTACTATATTTGCAAACAAATAATTCTCGGAGTACGAGTTATCGATCCACAGGGAAGCGGTTGTATCAAGCACTAGTTACTAACTTATTCATTAGAGCTAATCCTAACAATTACTTAGATGATTGATTGGCATAAATAAATAAAATAAAACAGAGGTTCAGGATTTTGAAAACAATTAGAGAGAAGTTGAGATTCATGGGATTCAAGTATTCAATCACCTAGTGCAATTATCGTTTGCAATATTTAGTTTGGAATTAAGATTTGTGTGGGAATGCAAAGTGGAATCGAATTACTCCCGTAATCTCTATTCCTAGTGAATTTCCACTCCATGGCTTAATCACCCAATAAGATCAAAGATCAGATTCAATTATTCCTAATTACTACCCTCTCCCGATTGGCAACAATCTAGAATAAACTTCCCCTAATAAGTTCCCCTTTCCCAAGGACCAACCATTAGGTGCAATCGTGTGTGCCTAATTTATGCCCAACTCCCATTGGTGACACAAACATGGCTATGAAGCTAGTAACTATGGCCATTAATTACAAGCATCAAACAATATTATCACGATTGCAACACAAGTATTAAACCCAAATAATAATATATTAAAGAAACTGAGAGCTCAGGCACATAGGTTCATAAACACTTTTACCCAAGAATCTCTAAAGAATTTAGCAAGCATGACTAAATTATACATAGCAAATATAAATAAAGAATTACAAATCATCAAAAGAGTACAAGAATTAACCAGACGATTTCCCAAATCTCCCTAGTCTTCTTCTTGCTTTCCAAGACAACTTGTGGCGCTTGATTCACTACAACAAACTGACTATTTAGCGACATATATTTAGTGGCGGTTATACATAACCGCCTCTAAATGACTATTTTGAGGCCGGTTTAGAAACCGCCGTTAATTTAATATAAGAAACCTAAATAACTAATTGGTAGCAAAAATAGAAATCTAAATAATTAATTGTTAGTGTCATTTACTTGCGGCGGTTATGACCGCCGCTAAAATATTTTAAAAAAAAGTAATTTCTAATTTCTAATATAGATATATATTATTTACGGAGGATATTGGGTTTTCAACGTTGAGTGAAGAGCAGCTGCGAGGAAGAAGAACAACAAACGAACACTAATTTAGCAGAAGCAAAGGGAGGAAAAATTCCAGTCCACTCGCCAGAGACCCTCCGTCTGCTCCGACCTGTCGGCGTCTCCTTTGTTTAATTTGCTCCACGGCGTCATTGTAAGGTTTGTGACTCCTGTGAATTTCTCACTGATTTTGTTCTCAAACAGTGTGTGTGAGAATTTATGAATTTAGTTTTTATCTTTTGAGGATTATTTTAAATTTCTTTTGAATGTTTTTTGCAATTTGATTGATTCTCTCTATTGGAACTTGAATTCTTATGCTAATTTAGGATTGTTAACAGATTAGTTTTTTTGTAGCAATTGCATTCAAGGTGTTTGTCATATTGTCTACAGGGTGTTGTTCCTCACATTTTCCAAGAGCTTTGAAAGTACTTGATAAAGAAAATTTTCATTTGTATTTGTTGCAGGAACTGCAATTTTAATTTAGAGTTGGCATTTGGCATGAATTGTACAATTCTACAAAAACAGCTTAAGCCAATCATATTGGCATGTATTTTTATATATTTTTTGTAGGAATTGTAGTAAATCAAATTTCTATGAATTCCTATCCTTTTGCGTGAAATTTCAGTGAGCTGCCGATTTGTTTTTGAATTTGAGTGTCAATCTCGCTAATTTGGTTGGAATTGTGTTTTTTCTTCTATATAATCTGTATGCTTAAATTAAATTATTCTCCTATGAATTGGTGCTGTGTGGTTTGAAAGTCATAGTCATACTGACTGATGATACCATTTCAGAGAATCAGGAGAAAAGCATAAAAGTAAAAGCCACAAGCATAAGGATTCCTCGGTGAGTTCTCTTTCTATTCCTATCTTTACAAAAGTTCAGCATTAAACATGTTTCAGTTGAAATGAGCCGAAAATAAACTCCCTACTTGCCTTGCATTTTCTGTTTATCATACTAATTTGGTAGACCATAAACATATGAGCCATTCTATTGGATAAAAATGTTAGACCCATCCCTGCTTTCAGTTTGATTGAAAATGAAATTTTGATAGGTTAATACTAGAGACTACTCTCTACTCGGTTAGAGTCATATTTAATTTAATTTGTAGAGTTTGATTCTTACTTAAAATGACCTGACTATGAACTATTTAATATGTTGTTCGAATACAAAAGTCATTTTCTAACATTACAGTTACTTTAATATTTTGCTTATCAAGTGTTATACATGGGGTGTAAAAATAATAATAATAATTTGCTTTGTTTCTTGGTGATTGTTTTCTTAGATTGCTTTAGAAGGAAACTTCTTATATGAAGAATTATGTCTATTCTGTTTTACACATAGCTAACGCGTTGATTTTTGTGGTACGTGTGCTTTTGCCAGTTAATACTCTTTGCATCTTATTCTAGCAAGGATTAAAAAACGCCTCGAGTGCAGGTATCATTGTGATTTAAACAAGACTTATAGTTGTTAATCTTACTGTTTAATTATTCCTTCTTTGGGGTTATTAATGTTTTTTACTGCCTATAGACTTGGAATACAAAAGCTATCCAAGATTGCATCTTTATTGCCACTTCTCAAGTTATCTTCTTATCTCTTTCATTTTTAGTTATCTGTGTTTGTTCTACAGACTAAGGTTATATGGTAAGATTATCTGTTCTTTTATTACTGTTGAATTCTGTCTTAACAAGGATATATGCTAAGGTGAACTAATTCCTCAAATTCTCAATTCTAGTGTGTCTAAGTTTTAAATGAGGTTTGGAACTTTTTTTTGGTTCTTTTTATGTTTTGGCCCTTTGTGTATTTTATAATTTTTGTGTATTCATGCAGGTGGCACGTAATGTGTTTGAAGCAGGGTTGAAAAACTTTATGCATGAACCTGAATACATTCTTGAGTGAGTTTCCTTCCCTTTTTGGCATCAAAATTCTATATATATATATAAGCATGAATCTGTTGCCTTGTTCAAGTTAGTAGTCCATTTTTCAGCAATTGTTCCTTTTAATTATTTGTGATTCTTTGAAGTAAATTCTCTCTGCATGTTCTTTATTTAGTGGCAGTTATACTAACCGCAGCTATTTTAACAACAAAACTTAAATCATAAGATAAAATGCTAGTAACCATTTTATCGGCTGTTTTCATTAACCATCTTAAATTATAAGTTAATTTATTTTTTGGGTTATTTCCATCTTTTCACCCACATCTCAATGTTGGAACAACACAACACAACATATAAAGCAATTCACATTAGAAAGCAGGATGCATTCCTAAAATTAATCTCTCGATATATCCTCCGCTTTCTCTCTCTATATGCATATATGTGGTCTCATCATTCTATACATATGACAATTCATCTTTCTTTCTCTTTGTAGATCTTGTATGCTAAACTACTAAAGTTTGAAAAATCTTCATATAGAGATTATGCATGGATAAATCTTGGGTTAATTTGCAGCGAAATACTTTGGAATATATAGAAGGGGTAAACAAATTAATTGATTTTGCTATTGAGCATAGATGTATTGAAGGAAGAATATTGTGTCCTTGTGTAAAGTGTAAATTTAGGTATTGGTTATATAAATTTGACGTGAAAGAACATTTAATTTGTGATGGGATTGTACCTGGATATGTTAATTGGATTTGGCATGGTGAAGGGGGATCTTTAGACACTTTTAGTAGCACTCCTAATGTTGTGCCTACTAATGTGCAAATTGAGAATCCTGAAGTAAATATCATTCATGATGCTTTTGCACATATTTCACATGGTATAAATGAACCTTCAACATCACAACAAACACTACTTGGGGATGGAGTATTACCTAGAGAGGATAGTGAAGACAGTAAAATATTTTATGAGTTGCTCAAAGATGGAAATCAAGAGTTGTATGAAGGGTGTAGCAAGTACTCAAAATTATCATTTTTGTTGAAGTTGTACCACATCAAGTGCTTGGGTGGAATAAGCAATAAAGCAATGTCTATGATTTTTGAATTGTTAAAAGATGCTTTTGAACAAGCAAGGCTTCCTGATTCTTTCTATGAGGCAAAAAAAACCATCAATAGACTTAGTCTTAATTATGTTAGCATTCATGCATGTCCAAATGATTGCATGCTATACTGGGGAGATGATAAAGCTGCAGAAACATGCAAAGTATGTCATACTTCAAGATGGAAACAACCAAACGGGAAGAATGGTGGTGATGTGCGTTGTGGTAGCAAGTTTAAAAAGAAACCTTCTAAAGTGTTGCGTTACTTCCCTCTTAAGCCTAGGTTGCAACGGTTGTTTATGTCTTCTAAAACTGCTGAGTATATGAGATGGCATGCTATGGATAGTAACAGATGGGTTGATGCGACATCCTAGAGACTCTGAATCATGGAAGCGATTTAATGAAGTCCATGTAGAATTTGCTGCTGACCCACGAAATGTTAGACTTGGGTTAGCTGCGGATGGTTTCAATCCATTTGGACATCAAAGTTCTACTCATAGCACTTGGCCTGTGATTTTAATTCCTTATAATTTGCCTCCATGGATATGTATGAAACAAACCTCATTTATTTTGTCTATGATTATTCCTGGGAAAAAGATGCCAGGGAATGATATAGATATTTACATGCAACCATTGATTAAAGAGTTAAATGAGTTGTGGAGTTTTGGAATAGAAACATTTGATGCTTCACAGGGTCAGTTTTTTAAACTACATGCAGCTCTAATGTGGACCATTAGTGATTTTCCTGGGCTAGGTAACTTATCTGGGTGGAATACACATACAGGGCTAGCATGCCCCTCATGCAACTTTGATTTTTTGCCAAATCGCCTTCCACATAGTAGGAAGTGGTGTTTTATGGGTCATCGTCGGTTCTTAGGGTCTTCTCATCGGTATAGACATCACAACTCTAAATTTGATGGAACCAAAGATTTGAGAAGTCCGCCAAAGATGTTGTCAGGTTCAGATGTTTTGAATCAGCTTGCAGATATCAATATTACATTTGGGAAAAACCTAGAAATGACTGAGAAGGGGAAAAGATCACGAGTGAGAAGAGTTGAAGATGGTGATACGCAACAATGGAAGAAGAGAAGTATATTTTTCCAACTCCCTTATTGGGAATTCAATTTGTTGCGCCACAACCTTGATGTCATGCATATTGAAAAAAATGTTTTTGACAATGTGTTGTTTACTTTGCTAAATGACTCTGCAAGATCAAAAGATAATCTAAATGCTCGAATGGATTTAGTGTCAATGGGTATAAGAGATGACCTTTGGCCTAATGAAAATGGAAAATACTCTCTAAGTTGTTTTACAATGACAAATATAGAAAAAGATGTATTTCTTGCAACACTAAAGAGTGTATTACTGCCAGATGGTTACTCAAGTAATATTTCAAGATGTGTTGATTTGAAGAATCGCAAGATACATGGATTGAAAAGTCATGATTGTCACATTCTTATGGAACATCTATTGCCAATTGCCATACGTAATCTATTACCAGATCAAGTTTGTATGGTTTTGGTAGAATTGGGTTCTTTTTTCAGACAAATATGTAGTAGAGTATTAAATGTCAAAGAGCTTGATAACCTTCAAAGTCGACTTGTGCTAACATTATGCCATATGGAAATGATATTTCCACCATCATTTTTCACAGTAATGGTGCATTTAGTTGTTCACCTTGTTGATGAGGTTAAGCTTGGAGGTCCTGTTCCATACCGATGGATGTACAGCATTGAGAGGTGACTAAATTTTGGATATTTAAAGTTTTCTTTATTAGATTATCGATAAATGCATCTACTAATGTCTTATTTCTATATATTTAGGTACTTAGGACATTTAAAGTCTTTTGTACGCAACCGAGCAAACCCAGAAGGTTCAATAGCTGAAGGTTATATTGCTGAAGAATGTCTTACATTTTGCTCAAGGTATTTAGAAGGGGTTGAAACAAGGTTTAACCGATCTAGGCGTGTTGATGATGTGCCATTTTATGCTGAAAATATTCAAAGCAATATCTTCAAACAAATTGGTCGACCAGTAGGCAGTGTTTTAACTTTCCAACTAACTGATATAGAGAAACAACAAGCACATCGATATGTGCTAATGAATTGCAAACATGTTGACAAATACGTTGAGTAAGTAACATCCAAACTTTTGTATTTTGGTGAGAAATAACATATTATTTCAATTGTTACAAATGTGTTGTTATCACATACAGGGAATTTACAGTTATCACATACAGGGAATTTACAGTTTTAACGAAGAGACGACTAAGAAGGCGGACGAGATCTTCTGCGGAGATTCAAAAAATAGTTAATAGAGATTTTTCCAATTGGTTTGCAAAGAGAGTAAGAATTTCACCTCAAATCAATATTTTACTTCAAAATTAATTTACTAATACAATATCATTATGTTTTAGATCCTAAATAATGACAATCAAGAGCAAGTGCCAGATGACATTATGTTTTTAGCAAGAGGTCCACTTACTCATGCTAGAAGATTTTCTTCGTATAACATTAATGGTTTAAGATTTCGAACAGTGAACCGAGAAGAAGGACTGAAGTCTCAAAATAGTGGAGTATTTGTTATTGCTGGAACTCCAAGTGTTGCAAGTAGTCGTGATACTCATGGGGTTTTTGGAGATGTTGCTTATTATGGAAAATTGGTTGACATCATTGAACTGAATTACTACAGCAAATTTGTGGTTACACTATTTAAGTGTATATGGGCTGATACGACTACTCCAAGAGGGACAAGAATAGATCATTATGGCTTCACCGAAGTTAACTTCTCTAGAACAATACATGTTGGAGATAGTATAGATGATGAACCATATGTGTTAGCTGAACAAGCTCAGATGGTGTTTTATGTCACTAATGAGTTGGAGAAAGATTGGAATGTTGCAATACCTTTCAAACCAAGAGACTTTTTTGACATGGGTGAAAATGCAGACAGTAGCGTATATGATTGTACTTCAATCTCACGTGAAAACCAAAATCCTGTGGTTTTAAATGAGATTGAAAATTTGCAGTTAACAAGAGAATAACTAAATGATGAAATAACCACTGTTGTTGATAGCGGAATTGAAAGAGCAGATAATGATTAAATTGTACAGGTCAACATGCTTACTCTCCTAGAGCTTTACTCTTTTTCTTCTTATTTTTTGTTCATTTCTGTTTTATTCTTTGAGATCACTAACCCTTCAACTGAACTCAAACGGAAATTTGTTTTTTATTTGATGTGTAGGTATGCTAGAGTAGAAGAACTCACTCGATTATGCAAATAATCTGCTTTCTGGAAATAGAAAGTCTAAGGATGTTATGGCATTACAAATCTCTCGCGCAATGACATATTTACATGAAAATGGCATCATTCATCGCGACTTGAAGCCCAGTAAGTAATTTTCTGCGGGCCTAACTTTTGCTGCTAGCTATTTTGCTTATTAGTCATCAAGCTAATTAATCTTATTGGATTGCAGACAATATTTTTCTATCAGAAAGCAAGAAGAGTGTGAAGCTTGGGGACTTTGGGCTGTGTAGGGAGGGTCTGGAAGGTGATTTTTCTGCTAATGTTGGAAGCTTTCCCTGGATGGCTCCTGAGGTAGTATTGCAACTTTAATTTATTAACCAACCATCCATATTAAGATGTATGTATGTGTCTGCTTGCATCATATATATATATATATATATATATATATATATATATATATATATATATATATATATATATATATATATATATATATATATATGTCTTCCAACTGTTTCTGAGTAATTTTCCCTTCTCAAGTTTGTTTATTCCGTGATTGATGATAAATAGTGTCATGTATTGGAAGTACATGCATTTATAAATAAGTTGAGAGGTTTGCTTTGTTAGAGGTGTAGCTTTAAGCATTTTGAGGTCTGTAGGCCAGTTGATACACTTCTTGCGATTTACTTCCTCTTTGCTAAGATAGCATACCCAGGAAATTGATTCAATCTTGCTGTTTAAAAAAAAAAAAAATCTTGCTGTTAAGTTTTCACCATTGTTATATCATTGGTTTTGTGTTTGGGTAGTGTAGGATCAAGGTGTAATAAGAATTTCAAACCCATTGATAAATGAAGATAATGTAATGTATTCTGCAGATTTTAGCAAAGAAAGGAGTTGTGATTCTACCAGACATCTATGCAAACTCAGGTGGATTTACTGTCAGCTATTTTGAGTGGGTTCAGGTGATTACCTCTGTTGCTTTCACCAGCAAACTTCTTACACAACTTACTAATGGATTAAAGATCCTAAATTATTGAATATGTTTAATCTTCCTTGTAGAACATACATTCAAGGGTTTATGTGGGATGAGGAGAAAGTGAATGCAGAACTTCATAAATATGACCAGGGGTTTATGTGGGATGAGGAGAAAGTGAATGCAGAACTTCATAAATATGACCAGAGGTTTTAAAGATGTCAAGGACTGAGATTGTAGATTATGTTGGTCTATCCACCAAAGGCTGCCTGTATCTGCATTTGAAGAATAATGTTTTGAACTGTCAGGGAATGAAAATGCATTACAGTTAAAGACCATGGAAGAAATATCTAAGCTGAGAAGCTACTTCTTTTAATACTATTGAATATTATTATTTGATAAATATTAGTTACAATTGATTTTTTTCAATTAAATGGGTACATAGATTTTATTTGTGATTGCAATACGCATTTGAATATAAAGATTTTGAAGAAATATAATTAAATGATAGTTATAAAAATATAATAATGTAATTATAAAACATTTAGCGACACTTAATTATGAAAATAAAAAATTATTTAGTGACACTTAATAACCGCCTCTAATATTTTAAAAAATAAATCAAGACAAATATTTAGCAACACTTACTAACCGCCACTAAAATTTATTCAAATAAATATATATATTTAGCGGCGGTTTTGTAACCGTCGCTAAATTTATTCAAATAAATATATATATATATTTAGCAGCGGTTACAAGACCGCCGCTAAATGCACCCAAAACCGCCGCTAAATGAGTTTTTCATTAATTCCCGCGGTTGTTGAAAATCGCCGCTAAATGCTTCGCGACACACTATTTAGACACGGTTGAATAACCGCCGCTAAACACACTAGTGGCAGTTTGGAACCGCCGCTAAACGCAAAAAAAAACCGTCGCTAAATGCCTGATTTGGTGTAGTGATTTCTCTCCTTCTTGTCTCCAAGAATCTCTGAATTCTCCCGGTCTCTATTAGGGTTGAGGAAGGGGGGATTTTATAGTGGGTACAAAGTTGAGATGAAATAGGAATCTTGTACAAAATTGGACTCAAATTATAATTCCTATATTTTAAATAAAGAATTGAAGTTGGAATTGGAATTTGGAATTGAAGTTGAATTGGGAAAACATTGCAGCCGCTAATCACTTTGCATGTCGCGTCATTCTCGACGCGTCGAATTAAGGCTCGACGCGTCGAGCCTCTTTGGCTCAGTTTTGTGATGCTACTGGAAATTTTCGACGCGTCGAGCCCTCTGGGTCCCGGACTTGTCCAAAATTGCTCCAAACTCATCCTTGAACTTCCCTTGCTCATAGAATTGACCTACAATGGTTCAAAAACACTAACAAACACCGTAAAACATTCAAAACAAGTGTGAACCATAATTAAATGATAATAGCAAGGAAAATATGTATTAAATAAGCAAAATTAAAGAACTTAAATACTAAGATGATTCAAAATAACTATAATAACAAGCAAAGATGTGATAACATCAGTTTCTAAATGGTGATTTAGAGAAGGAAGTTTATATGAAACAACCTGAAGGTTTCTCTTCTAGAGGTGGTGAGGATTTGGTGTGTAGGCTTAGGAAGTCCATATACGGTTTATAATTCCTATATTTTAAATAAAGAATTGAAGTTGGAATTGGAATTTGGAATTGAAGTTGAATTGGGAAAACATTGCAGCCGCTAATCACTTTGCATGTCACGTCATTCTCGACGCGTCGAACGTCGAGCCTCTTTGGCTCAGTTTTGTGATGCTACTGGAAATTTTCGATGCGTCGAGCCCTCTGGGTCCCGGACTTGTCCAAAATTGCTCCAAACTCATCCTTGAACTTCCCTTGCTCATAAAATTGACCTACAATGGTTCAAAAACACTAATAAACACTGTAAAACATTCAAAACAAGTGTGAACCATAATTAAATGATAATAGCAAGGAAAATATGTATTAAATAAGCAAAATTAAAGAACTTAAATACTGAGATGATTCAAAATAACTATAATAACAAGCAAAGATGTGATAACATTACCCCCTCACACTTAAGCTTTTGCTTGTCCTCAAGCAAAACTAAGGAATAAAATCACAAGTCAAAACATACAAATTACTCATGCTCTCTCTTGCACAACCTTTCAAACCACCAACCAACTTGCTACAAAACAACAAGCTTCAAGAATCAAATTAGTTTGGCACATAAGAGACCCATTTCCAAGCCAATAACCAAGCACCAAGAATCTAAAGTATGTGAGGACCAAGTGTGGACAAATACTCAGTTGAGATTGTGCAAGACACGGCTCATGAATGAGATCCCAAAGGCTTGCCCTTCATACTCCCCTAGATCAAATCTAAGAATGCATGCTAAGATCAAATAGGACTTTATTAAGCTTGTAATGGGGCTACGGGTGATAGCTAACAAAGAAGTGGTATGGAAAAATTAATCAAAAAGAGAGAATGTCGCAATTTATCTAAACTTTTCAAAATTTGGAAGAGATGAGATAATCATAATTCCAAGGAGCAAATTTCTTTTAAGAACTTAGCAACTCTTTGGTAAAGTGGGGATCCAAATTCAAAAACTTTCAACCTTTTTTTTTTTTTTTTTTTTTTTTTTTTTTTTTTTTTCTCATTCTTTTCTTTGTCTTTGGACTTCTTTTGGATATAGCAAGATAATTTTAATCCAAACTTTCATGACCTCCACACTTGAACATTTGTAACACTAGCTGCTTTTTTTTCGTAGCACAACTCCATAAAACTCTTCTTACGGAAAAGATAGAGATAAAAGTTTCATTCTCTCAAGGGTGGAAGGGAAATATTTGGCCACGGGCTAAGGGTTATAATAATGGGGTAAATCAAAGAAAAACAATCACAAAGAGGGGATAAGTGCTTAGCACTTATTTGAACAAACAAAAGGCACAATGGGGATACGAAGGATAAAAATATATATAGGGGCAGGTTTAAAGGCTATGGCTAAACAAAAATGGCCTATATCACTTCAAAACATGCAAAACTTAGACATCACTTAGGGAGTAATGAGGCAAGTTCTAGCAAAACACCCATGACCGGAATCTCACATAAGCCTTCACTAGCAATGCAAAACACAAGATCAAGAATTAATCCAATTATTAAGTGGTTAACAAAGCTATTGGCAAGGGAATAGATCAAATATGTGTTACACCTCGAATCATCCATCACAAATTGAGATGCAGCGAGCACCACTAAAACAAACCACAAACCAACAAGAGAGAATAATTGTAACTGCATGCTAAGACAAGTAACTTATTCACCAAAAATAGCATATGAGTCATCCAAGCAAAAGCAAAAATTTTAAAAATTTAGAAATATCCCCAAATTAATGATTCCTCCCCCTCACACTTAAAACTTTGCATCGTCCCTGATGCAACATAAAAGAAAAGTAGAACAAGAGAAAAGAGAAAACTAATAATCACGAACTAGAAAGCAATAAAACTTAATAAAACGAATCTAGAAAGCAATAAAATTAAACTAGAAAGCAATAAATATGAAATAAATAAAAGATAACATGGGGTGCCTCCCATGAAGCGCTAAGTTTAACGTCGCTAGCTCGACCTAACCTGGTTATGGAGTGCTCATCCTGGTTGATCCGCGAGTTTGATCTCATCACCCCATAGACTCTTCAAATGCAAATACTCATCATGTGTCACCTTGAGAGTAGGGTCGATGTGCAAAATTGACTTGCATTCAATAATTTTTGGCTCATCAAGAACATTAAATTCCACCTTTTCCTCCCCAAAGTCAAAAATCATGGACCCTTTCCTTGCATCAATCATTGCTCCAATAGTGGCTAGGAAGGGTCTCCCCAAAATGAGTGGAACGTCTAGGTTCCTTCGGACATCTATCACAATAAAATCACAAGGCACAAAATACTTGTCCACACGAACTGGGACATCTTCAAGAATTCCAATAGGCCTTACGATGGATCTATCCGCCATTTCTAAGGTGAATTGGATTGGTTTTGGTTCTCCCAACCCTAACCCTTGACAAAGAGTAAGAGGCATAACACTCACACTGGCTCCTAAATCACAAAGGGATCCCTTTAAAGGTCGGCCTCCAATCACACAAGGAATTGTGAACTTCCCCGAATCTCTATGCTTAGGTATATTCCTCCCAATTCCCGGGGTCAACGCTTGATACTCTTGTGCCACAGCTACCATCTCTCGTTCCCCATATTTCTTTTTCTTAGCTAGAATCTCTTTCAAAAATTTTCCATAAGAGGGAACTTGTGAAAGCAAATCAAGTAAGGGAACTGAAACTTTCAAACTCTCAACAATCTCCAAAAACTTTTTCCACCTACTTTCTTTTGTTGTTTCAAGATTTTGAGGAAAAGGCAATGGGGTACATACCTTCTCACAGGTTTCTCTACTTCCTTTTGAACTTGTGGATTATTTTGCACAGCAATTGGCTCATCTTCTATACCATCAAGTATCTCTTCAATCTTCTCCTCAACTGTCTTTTTAGGAATTGATGCTTTGATTGGAAGAGGTGGCTCTTCAAGTACTTTGCCACTCCTTGTAACAATTGCATTTACATGCTCCCTTGGATTTTCAGGCATAGCTGGCAACTTCCCTGTGACTTTAGTACTTGATATAGAAGGTTGATTTGCTAATTGCTTTTCAACCATATTTTGGCGAGCATCCATTTTATCCATCCTTTCTGTAATCTCTAACTGACCTTTAATCAATTTTTCCAACAAAAGTTCCGTATTCGATTGTGGTGGGGCCTCTGAAACGGGAAATTTAGATTGAACTTGAGTACCTTGAAAACCCAGAGGACCTCTATTAACAAAGTGTTGAGGGTTGGCAGCTCCCATTGAGTTGCTCCATGAAAAGCCGGGATGGTTCCTTGAATTATTAGGATGATAGGTCCCTTGAGGTTGGAAAGACTATTGATGAGGCCTATTATATCCCAACATATTAACTTGCTCCATAGAGGTTTGGGAATTTGACTCGTCGATACAATCCCCTGACTTGTGTCCACCACCACAAAGTTCACACATCAAAACTCGACCAAGAGTAGGAGGATTAGAAACATGACTCACATTGTGATTTTGGATGGTGACTTGGGCAAGTTTTTGAACCATGGAGACCACATTATCCAACTTTGTTGACAAATCGGCTAATTGCCCCGCATCATGAATTCCTCCTACAAGCTTTTGTGGAGACCTCTCCGTGTACCAAGTAGATCCATTCATAGCAATTTTCTCCAATAGTTCCTCGGCTTGTGTTGGCTCTAGAATCGTGAACGAACCACCCGAAGAAGCATCCACCAAAATCCTAGAATTATCAAGCAATCCTTCATAGAAGGACATCATCAAATCCCAACTTTGAAATCCATGGTGTGGACATTGCCTCTTCAATTCCTTAAATCTCTCCCAAGACTCAGTGAGGGACTCAATTGCCAGTTGCTTAAAGTTTTGAATTGCCCTTCTCATCCTTTGAGTCTTGGAGATAGGATAGAACTTCTTCAAAAATTCTCCATGTAATTTGTCCCAAGTGTCAAAATGGTTATCTGGATGTGAGGATAACCAATCTTCAGCCCTGTCCTTCAGTGTAAAGGGAAAAAGCCTAAGTCTGACAGCATCTTGAGTGACTCCATTTATCTTGAAAGTGCCACAAAGTCGTAGGAACGTGGTGGCGTGAGCATTGGGATCTTCCGTGGGCATCCCTCCAAATCGATCTGCCGCAGCCATGCTGAGTATGGCCGGATTGATCGCAAAGTTATTGGCCTCCACATTTGGAATATTGATGCTCCCATGCTCCTCAACATCCGGAGCAAGGTAGTCAGACATTGATCTCCCTTCAGCTTGGTTTTCTTGTACCTGTGCCATCCTAGTTTGTTTCCTAAGAAACTTGGCTCTTTTCTCAATCTCAAGATTCAAAGGTAATAATCCTTCTTTCCCACGAGATCGTGTATGCATAAAAAGCCAAGTTCTTAGATTCAAAGCAAAATCACACTCAAGAACAAGGAACTTGTTATGGATTAGCAAATAAAATAAATAAATAAATAAATAAATAAATAAATAAAAATGGACTAGACTCCTAAAGTAAGACTTTCACTAATGTCAGTACGTAACGCCACCTCCCCGGCAACGGCGCCAATTTGATGCGTAGTATATTTGCAAACAAATAATTCTCGGAGTACGAGTTATCGATCCATAGGGAAGTGGTTGTATCAAGCACTAGTTACTAACTTATTCATTAGAGCTAATCCTAACAATTACTTAGATGATTGATTGGCATAAAATAAATAAAATAAAACAGAGGTTCAGGATTTTGAAAACAATTAGAGAGAAGTTGAGATTCATGGGATTCAAGTATTTAATCACCTAGTGCCAATTATCGTTTGCAATATTTAGTTTGGAATTAAGATTTGTGTGGGAATGCAAAGTGGAATCGAATTACTCCCGTAATCTCTATTCCTAGTGAATTTCCACTCCCATGGCTTAATCACGCAATAAGATCAAAGATCAGCATTCAATTATTCCTAATTACTACCCTCTCCCGATTGGCAACAATCTAGAATAAACTTCCCCTAATAAGTTCCCCTTTCCCAAGGACCAACCATTAGGTGCAATCGTGTGTGCCCTAATTTATGCCCCAACTCCCATTGGTGACACAAACATGGCTATGAAGCTAGTAACTATGGCCATTAATTACAAGCATCAAACAATATTATCACGATTGCAACACAAGTATTAAACCCAAATAATAATATATTAAAGAAACTGAGAGCTCAGGCACATAGGTTCATAAACACTTTTACCCAAGAATCTCTAAAGAATTTAGCCAAGCATGACTAAATTATACATAGCAAATATAAATAAAGAATTACAAATCATCAAAAGAGTACAAGAATTAACCAGACGATTTTCCCAAATCTCCCTAATCTTCTTCTTGCTTTCCAAGACAACTTGTGGCGCTTGATTTCTCTCCTTCTTGTCTCCAAGAATCTCTGAATTCTCCCGGTCTCTATTAGGGTTGAGGAAGGGGGGATTTTATAGTGGGTACAAAGTTGAGATGAAATAGGAATCTTGTACAAAATTGGACTCAAATTATAATTCCTATATTTTAAATAAAGAATTGAAGTTGGAATTGGAATTTGGAATTGAAGTTGAATTGGGAAAACATTGCAGCCGCTAATCACTTTGCATGTCGCGTCATTCTCGACGCGTCGAATTAAGGCTCGACGCGTCGAGCCTCTTTGGCTCAGTTTTGTGATGCTACTGGAAATTTTCGACGCGTCGAGCCCTCTGGGTCCCGGACTTGTCCAAAATTGCTCCAAACTCATCCTTGAACTTCCCTTGCTCATAGAATTGACCTACAATGGTTCAAAAACACTAACAAACACCGTAAAACATTCAAAACAAGTGTGAACCATAATTAAATGATAATAGCAAGGAAAATATGTATTAAATAAGCAAAATTAAAGAACTTAAATACTAAGATGATTCAAAATAACTATAATAACAAGCAAAGATGTGATAACATCAGTTTCTAAATGGTGATTTAGAGAAGGAAGTTTATATGAAACAACCTGAAGGTTTCTCTTCTAGAGGTGGTGAGGATTTGGTGTGTAGGCTTAGGAAGTCCATATACGGTTTAAAACAAGCCTCCCGTCAGTGGTATATTAAGTTTGACGGGGTTATTTCATCATTTGGTTTTGTTGAAAGTCCCTTAGATCCTTATATATACCAAAAAGTTAGTGGGAGTCAAATCTGTTACCTTGTTTTATACGTGGATGATATCCTACTCGCCACTAATGAGGTGGGGATGCTTCGCGACGTGAAACAGTTCCTTTCCAAAAATTTTGATATGAAAGATATGGGTAAAGCATCTTATGTCATTGGCATAAAGATTCATAGGGATAGGTCCCGGGGCATACTAGGTCTATCGCAGGAAACCTATATTAACAAAGTTTTGGAAAGATTTCGGATGAAAAACTGTTCACCGAGTGTTGCTCCTATTGCAAAAGGGGATAAGTTTAGTTTAGACCAATGTCCTAAGAACGAATTGGAAAAGGAGCGTATGAAGGATGTTCCATATGCTGAAGCGGTTGGATGTCTTGGCTATATTCAAGTTTGTACAAGGCCCGACATTGCCTTTGCCGTTGGTATGTTAGGGCGGTACTTGCATAATCCAGGCTTGGACCACTGGGGAGCTGTGAAGAGAGTTCTGAGGTATCTAAAAGGTACTAAAGACTTCAAGTTGGGTTTTGGGCAGACGGACATCCTGGATGTTGTTGGTTATTCTGATGCGGACTTCGCTGGCTGTGTTGATTCTCGAAGATCAACTTCCGGGTACGTCTTCATATTGGCTGGTGGGGCAATTTCATGGAGAAGTGTTAAACAATCCTTAATAACTACTTCTACCATGGAAGCCGAGTTCGTGTCCTGTTTCGAGGCTACTTCGCAAGGTGTGTGGCTCAAGAATTTCATCTCCGGGCTTAGAATTATGGATTCTATATCTAAGCCATTGAAAATTTACTGTGACAACTTAGCTGCAGTCTTCCTAACTAAGAACGAAAAATGTGGGAGTCGAAGTAAACACATCGACATCAAGTTCTTAGCCATTAGGGAGCGTGTCAAGAATAAAGTTGTATTCATTGAACACATTAATACTGAGTTGATGCTAGCAGATCCCTTGACTAAAGGCATGCCTCCGTCTAAATTCAAGGATCTGATTCAGAAAATGGGACTTTCGTCCACTTTGTAATTTTGTATATACATTCAGTTTAATAATGAAATTCTTTTGCACTTAAGTTTTTCTTCAGCTACTTCGGATATTTTCTTTGAGTGTGTACACAATTCAGTTTATCTCAATAAGAAAATATACTTCAGTGGACTTGAAATGAACATATGGTTTGTTTCATTAAGTTTGATTACCTAAAGGACTCAGGGACAGTTTGCATTTGATCATAATGGATATTACTTGCGCTAAGGAGGACATGTCATTATGGTTGGTGTAAATCTTGTTCTTGGGTTCCGTATTTGCACCAAGTGGGAGAATGTAACGTTTTCCATTAATATTATTATTATTATTAGTAAGATTATTATAACAATAATAATATTGAATAAGTGGTGCAAATCAATAGGCTGACTAAGTATTAGAACTTAGTCAGCATTAGGTAATTAGTTACCTACATTGATGGGATGTAGGTTATTTAGACTCCCAAGTCCTCTCACTGCTCGGTTGACGTATCATACACCTATCTAGAGTCACTGAGAGAAGTGAGAGAAACACAACTAAAACCTACGGAGATTCTACAGCAGCCCGAGGAACTTCTGTTCATCAGACCACGAGTCCCTGTTAATCAAGATCTAAAGCTATGGTTGGAGGTTGGTGATCTAAACTCTGTTTTAATAGCCACGTATTTATTAATTATCACGTGGATTATGTGTTTACAGATTAGACATTCAACTGGCATTAGAATATCTTTTCCAGGATGGAAATTTCTATTAAATATACTAAACCATAATTAATGGTTTTATTCAAGTATATCAAAATTTCTTTTAATCTCATCCACTTAGCCAACTGAACATGATGATAGATAGAATTTTAATATTCTATTAATGAACTGGTGAAATAAAATATTCAATTGATTATACCGGAACCCCCTTTATAGGTTCCTAGTCAATAAATATTTATTTCTTACAAATTCTATAACCAAGAATTTCAATCATCAAGTTGAACTTATTAGCAGTGAGGACTCCTTAAAATAAAAATTCAACCTCCTCCATTTGAGTCATCATCAACTTTGGAGAATAAACCATTTTGATTTTAAGCTTTTAACTTTTCATGTTTCTTCTAAACTGAAGAATCATGACATCTTAAATCATAATCCATGATTTAAATTTAAACTTTCTTTTCACTACTAATTGCCAGTCATACTAGATAAACTAGTAAACTTGTTGGCTTTCAAAATTTTAACACATTCTCAATATGAGAAACTGTGTGTTAAATACATTCATAAATTTTTATGAATTTCATTATGTATACTTCATGCATAAAAGTTTCTGTATGCCTTTATAAGAAATATAACCGAATATTTCCTGGGCTTTCTGCCTTTATCAGAAATATAACAAATATTTCAAAAGCTTCCAGCCTTAATCAGAAATATATATAACATAATACTTCACACTTTCACAGGGATAAAATTATCTGCGTGCTAAAATAATCAATAATTTCATGCATGACATTGAAATTAATTCCAACTTACAATCATTAAACATTGTAACCATGCATAAGAAAACAACAAATTGATAACACCAAATTAATCCAAATTTGGTAGATTTACAGCACCTCAAGATCCAACATATTATACATGTATCTTGTATACTATGCATGCAACCGAGACAAAGTCACAGTATACAAATATTTATACACATGCATAAACATATCCTTGTATTTAACAGGCTATGCAAAATTCAAAAGAATCTCATGCATATCTTCCGGACATAATCCAGAACTTAACCAGTAATTAAATAAAACTTTTGTACCTGCCGAGGCCGAGACAAATATATAAACGGTACTATACTGATCTCTTCCGGCCTTTGATGCGCTCAAACCACTCACCCCACCGTGAGCAGAACATCTCTTCTCATGCCAATTAAATCATGGCTAACAAAATGATTTATTTAAATAAAATCATTTTACACATCTCCCTAATCATCTTGGCATAATTTGATATGCCCATGATTTTGAGTGAAAACGGAAATGAAACTTCATAGCATGTATTCAAACCACATGTACAACATGTACATAAGCATGCCATGAACACCATGCAAAACCGCACGGAAATCTTCTTGTACAATAAATAATGACAAACCCAAAAGTGATTTCTGTCATCCTCTCATCAACAAATTCGAAATCTCATTCCGAAAATATTACCGTGATGAGAACTTATTCTTCCATGCCTGACATCTTGCCTTCAAAACTTTCAAGGCAAAACCAATGATCACGGGTTTATAAATTTAAAGCTTATAGATTGTTGGAAAAAAGTGTTTGTATTATGTAATACATTTGAGATACAACAAAAATATAAGATACAACAGGGAACAGAAACTGGATCATTTGATATCTTCAGGCCTATAATCACTTTCCTATAAGCTTTAAATCTCCCTCTATAAAAGCAACAAGGTTCAAGATTTAATCTTATGGGATACAAGAATATGAATGAAATTCTTAAGTTGCTTTGTTTAAGAATTTCCTGTAGAATTGTAGAACTGTGAAATATCAAGATTAATGCAAGTTTATAACATGTTTATCTTCAGATGTTTCTCCAAAGTATTTATAAATGAAAATATGACTGTTTGGAGAAGTTACATGAAAGTTTTCTGCAATTTTAAAAACTTATCTTCCTATAAAATATATCTTAAATGATATATTTATCATAAGAGAATATTAATTACATAAATCATGTTCAACATAAATATATATGTAATTATGAACATTTGTAAGGTTGTGAACCGCATGCAAATAACTGTGCAAATTATAATAATAATATATTATAATTTTCTAGCACACT